GTGGCACGTCATTCAAGCGCAAGAGGTTAACTACTTGTGCTCGTAACTAATTGCGGACCATAACGAGTGGCCAAACCGTACGCAATAAATCGTCGCTTTCTTTTTGAACTCTGTATGGTATCACTGTAGATAGAAATTATTAAGAAGTAATAAATTTTATTAGTTGTTTTGCCCGGGTTATACTTAAAACTGAGAAAATTTTGAAACAAGTTATTCTCGACGTACGTGGCACGTCATTTCAACGCAAGAAGTTAGTAACTTATTCTCGTATTATCCTCTTAGAAAATCAAATTTTTCCCCGACGAGCCCCACGTTGAGACTCACGGCGTTAGTCCCTTCTTTTCGTTTGATCTCGCATTATCCTTCGGTTGCTCGTCGACACGTTCCTGCTTCGCATCCATTCGTTCCTCGTTCGTTACTTTTCGATGCGGTTTTTGAAAACGCGAAACACGCGGATCTGTTCTTCGTTCGTGAACGCTGAGAATGCGACACGTCTAATGGGAAGGAACGCGCGCCGCGTCGCTTTCAATTGAAACCTTATTGATACACCGAAGGCGAAGCCTTGAAATCGATCGATCGCTGCTTGGAGCTGATTTAATCGCTCACGGTCCAGCATATCCGTTCGAACGAGTATTTCCTGCTCGCGCGTTAGATCGTTGAGAAATAAATGCCAGATACGTGATGCCTGCGCCGTATCGGGAAGTTGCTCCGTTCAAAATTCATCGAGCTACTTCTCCTCCACTCGTTTGCCTCTTGCTAGAGATGGAATTTGTATTCGTATCGTGTTTTGTAAATTATTTAATCGAGACGAAAAAAACCTTCTCGTTCTCCTTGAACGTTTATCGGGGAAATATCGACTCGTTGTACTCGTTTACTGCTGGGCTTTAACGCGTGTACTTTCTTATTTAGCGCAGCGGTTCCCAACCTGTGATACGCGTGCCCCTTGAAAATAAAATAAAAAAAACGCAAAGAGACAAAGCTACAAAGTTTTGAGTTGCAAAGAGAGAAAGTTTTTGAGGGGTGGGTACCAAGAGAGAAGAAAGGTAGAGGAACCGTTGATTCCTAGTGGTGAAGATTCATCTTTTCGACGAGAAAACAAAATGGACGTCGTCTCAATTGCTCGACATTATTACCCCATGCACGACAGACTGGAATCAAATTTGTCTTCAGTCTGTCGTACTACAGGTGGTTGTTCGATACAATACTTTGTTGATCAAAAAAAAAAAAAAAAAAAAACTATCATCACTACTAAGAGCAAATGAATGTCACGATGAAAAATTGTTGTTCCAGGGGTTTCGGGAAGCAGGGGTACCAGTGTCAAGGTAAGAACGTCTGGATCGTTCGCTCTCGTTCAAGTAGAGTCCGCCTCTCCCGGATGAATTCTTTGGTTCCATTTCGCTGCTTATATTTCAGTCTGCAGTTTCGTCGTTCATAAACGATGTCACGAGTACGTGACCTTCACGTGCCCCGGCGCCGACAAAGGAGCTGACTCGGACGTGAGTATCGATCAAACGCATATCTCGTACACACTCTTCTTTTTTTTTCTTTTTTTTTTTTTTTTTTTTTTTTTTTTTTTTTTTTTTTTTTTT